GGGGGGGGGGATACAAGTTGAACACAATGATAATTGTGTAAATATTTATCTATGATAAACATCATTTTAAAGGATTTCTTATGCTTTTATAAGTGATCAAATCATTTCAAAAACTCTTTTAAAGTTATATTACTTTGTTGTTTATAAAACTCTGTTTTTAAAGTACAATCATAACTCAGTAGATAATCGAGTCTTTTCTACAAATCAGAGACAGTTCAAAACAAAACATACTAGTAAACTATAATAGGTATAGTTTAGGGGTTCAGAACATACAATAATAAGAACAGAAAGGAACATACGATAACAAGAACAGAAAGGAACATACGATAACAAGAACAAGATAACATTTATGTGAGACTACTTTACAACTTAGCAATATACTTGTTAGGTCACGTTTTGTAACCAGAGTCTCCTGGAGGAAGAGCGGACATTGTGTGTATAGATCTATACGGGACTGACAAGCCCGCATCCCGACTGTTCGCTACGGTTTGGCCGGCAGGCCAAGGGGTGACAAATGTCACATCAGTTTCGACGCCAGCAGGTCGTCGTGTTAAACACTTGTCGATCAGTATGGTTTGGCCAAGGGGTGACAAATGTCACATCAGTTTGGCCGGCAAGCCAAGGGGTGACAAATGTCACATAATAGGATATCAATCCAATGGGCAGAAATTGGTGCCTTCGACCCGCAAGTACAGTGAGGACAACTCGCCTTGCATTGCCGAATTATACATACGATCCCTAGCTGCTGGCTGACCGATCCTGAACTGTCAATATAAAGACAACACCCCATCAACAGCTGATCCCACGAATATTCTCTGACTGCAGATCCGCTAAAATCCACACGCTATCAGATACCATAATGACAATCCATCAACATCTAGCCCCTGACTCACACTATGAGTCCAATTTAGGGTAAAAGACCTTTTTACCCTTCCTCAAGCTTGGCCCAACAAGATGACCAAAGGCCCAAAATCCAAAATAACATCTCAGGCCCAACTATGGCCCAATTTTCCAAATTGGATCCAATTCCTTTCGTGGGCCTTCTCCCAAGAAGGTCCAACAAGACACATCAGCCCAACCATAAAAATCCAGATGGCCCAATATGGCCCAACACAACCAGACCCAAAACTGAATCCCAAAACGAAAGGGGCCCAAGTCTGCCGAGTACGCGGGGGGTACTTAGCTTGTACGCTCAACGTACAACATGGAAGGCTTCTACATGCGACGTACATACTTGTACACCCAACGTACTCACCAACCATGGCCATCTTTCCAAATTTATCACTTAATCCATTTAGACTTGGATCCAAACTCATATCTGACTTCCCCAAGGTGGTTAATCACATAAAGTTGCCAACTCTATGTGCATGCATGGCAAAATGGGACTCTAGAGCTCAAAGGAGCTTAATACTTGACTTAATACATGCATGGAACCAAAACCACTATAAAGTTTGCACCTTTATGCCCAAAGAACCCATGATATATCAAGATCTACAATTTCAAGCTTCAAAAACGACTTTAACTCCCAATTATCAACCAAAAGGGTCAAAATGACCAAAAATGAACCAAGAAGAAGATCCATTAAATGAAAAGGCAAGGTTTGGACTTCATACCTCCCAAGCTACCAAAAAGAGATGCAAATGTTGGACCTCAAAGCTTTCCTTCGAACAATAAGTCTTCAAGTTTCTCCTTCTTCTTCTAGATCCACAAAATGAACACCAAATTCTCACCAAAGGATCAAACACCCAACAATGGAGGCTAAAACTCGTTTTTAGGGTTTTTGGGGCTTTAGAGGTTGATAAGGAGGCCAACCCTAAGGAATAAGGATGTTTAAATAGGGTACACATGATCAAAATTTATGGTTAAAGCACCCCTCGTATAGTCGTATGTCCACCGTACGAAGATGAGGTTCGCCGATCCTTCCTTCTGCGTACGCTAAGCGTACACTAATGTTTAAATAGGGTACACATGATCAAAAGTTAGGGTTTAGACACTCCTCGTACGCCCCACGTACTCCTCGTACGCGCAGCGTACGAAGCCGAAGCTTCACGACCAAGTTTGCTGACTACGCTTAGCGTACGCCAAGGTACGCCCCACATAAGTGCCCTCGCACGAGTACGCCCTGCGTACTCCCCATGTACGCCCCGCGTGCTAGGGTTTTTCCCCAAAACCCTAAATTCTTTCGTAGGCCATAACTTCTTCATTCCAAGTCTGTTTCCGACGAACTTTATACCCACAGAAAGGTGACGCGAAGCCCTACACTTCTAGTAACCTATCATAGCCTTAAAACTCCCCGAACCAAACCCAAAGTTCATGAAGGACTGAGATAACAACTTACAATTATGCCCTTGGGCTCCGAAACACCATCGAACACTCAAATCACTTAGACTTTAACACCCTCATCCAAAAAGGGCCAAATCCTTCTTCCCCAAGATCCCAAGCCTTAAGATAACTGATGATCGGGTTGCGGCCCCGAATAATGAAACGATTCGAAACCGAGTGTTACACATTGAAGAGAAGATGACTATGTTTTTACATGTTATAGGACATAATGAATGTTTTCGAGCGGTTAAAGGAAGACTTCAACACTCCAATCAAACCATTCATTAATGTTTTCACGAGGTCCTAACTACAATGATGTGCTTTGCAAAAGAAATTATAGTACCAACAACTCCTAATTCAATAAGACATGCCCCAAAACGACATAGACGGTTAAAAACCATATTTTCGGGGGAAATAGGTGCACTAGATGGAACTCGTGTACATGCAGGCGTGCTTGTTGATCAGCATATGTGGTATAGGGGGATATGAAATGGTGAATGTTATCAAAATTTATTAGGAGTTTGTGATTTTAATATGATATTCACCTTTGTATGCGTTGGATATGAGGGCATAACACATGATTCAAGAGTTTTAAAATAAGTTACATTCATTTCGACTTTCGAATTTCCATTCCCTCCACTAGGTTTATAATCTTTATATAAGTTTATTCTATTATTTATATAACTTTTTGTTGGATTAAGGTGTCTAAGCTCACAATAAAATTGACATACTCATCTAGTTAAAAACAAAGTCATTTTTGGGTTGCCCTCATAACCAGAAATAGCTAGAAATGATATTAGGAGAGAGAAATATAACTTATTAGCTTATTATATGATTAATAAGCTAATTGGAAATTATAGGAAAATGATATGTTAATATATTATGTGATTAATATATTAATTGGAAATAAACAGTTGATTTGTTGATTTATTATGTGATTAATAAATTAATATGAGATAAATTGTTAAATAATTGATTTGTTAATTTATATGATTAATAAATTAATGTGAAATCAATTAGAATTGATTAATTATTAATCAAAATCAATATGGAATTAACTCGGGATTAATTGGAATTAACTGAAGGTGCAATAGGTGAATTGTATTTGTTCAATAGTTGAACAAAAGAAGCAATTCTAAAACCCTCCATGGTATGGACGGTTTTGGAGGGTTTCCTAGGGTTTCTGGAAGCCTCCTAGTTATATAAAAGGAAATAATTTGAATTATGATTAAATCTATTATTTAATCAATTTAAATATTGTTTTGTCAGCAAGTTACGTAAACTATAAATAGGACCTATTCGCGTGCAATTTTCATTCACCACATTACCTAAAGGCATAGGAATAAATTCCGTCATATATCCTCTCTCTTCCTCATTGTAGGGTTTTTGGTTTTATGTGTGAGCCATTAGAAGCATCATCCTTTTTGTGCTAGCTTTCCAAGACCAAGAAATGCAAAAGATTAAACTGATTTGTTTACTACAACAAATCAAACGTATGTAACCCTAATCATATGTATATTTCAATTATAATAGGTTTCCCTTAGGGTTCTTGATGTTCATAGTTTATTGTTATTAATTAGAGAAAATATAGATCCTTTATAGGTTGCACGCAAACTTAATTGTTAAGATTTCCTGCTTTACATGTTTTTGATAACCTATAAAATCCTTCACTTTTATTATCTATATTCTTTATATAATAAATGTCACCCACCTACATATAAATATTACATTTGTGACGCTGCATATACCAATACTCGCAGGTTCATGGATCCGTACCGTGTCACTAGGTATTGGTTAGCCGATTTTCGAAGACGACGGGCTTTAACTAAAGAAGAAACATTCAATAATGTTAATGCACAACTTAGAAATGTTATTAAGCGTGCTTATGGTGTATTGAAGGCAAGATTCTCAATCTTAAAACAAATGACTCATTATTCTTTTCCAATGCAAAAAGACATAGTCATTGCTTGTATCGCGATCCATAATTTTATAAAGAAATAGAATATCCAATATGAGTTATTTGCAAATTTTGAAGAGAGCGTTATGGTTAAACCTGACGTGCAAGGTGAAAGAATTGAGGGCGAAAACACACATGACATAGAATGAGGTTCAGAAGCCGTTGAATATATGACTACTTTGCATGAGCAGATTGCTAATTAACCACTTTCACCTGATTTACTTTAGAATTGTATGCAAATTAATATGTTATTTTTCTATTTCAGTATGTTTCTATTTCAATTTTAATTGATTTATGTTTAATTACTTTGTATGACAATTTATATTTAGATTTTTAAATGATTATTATGTAATTTTGATTTTGTATGACAATTTGTATGTTTTTATAATTATTCAACAATTCCATTCGTCAAAGTATAAAATAACAAAGTTATATGGTCATTTTTAATCATTCATCACAGTCAGTCACATATACAATTAAACATATCACAGTCAGTAAGATATATAATCAAACAACATTAATTTTTTTTTTCGAGTAAGAAAACATATATCAAACGAGATCTTAATGTATAACTCTTATACTATAACAATGAACGTAAATTATTATTATTAATATTTATAAAAACATGAAACAGAATTTATTTTTTTTTACTCAAATTGCTTTAGGACAACGTACTACAACAACGGGGAGACCTAACTCAACCATGGTTAATAAGGTTAGGCTCACGCACTACACACCACCAGGAAAGGAGACAAACAAAGGCTCACAGTGAGAGAAAGCGACAGCAAAAGTGTTTTAGAGAGAGAAAGTGAAGGAATCAAGGCGTATAATTAAGCTGCTCTCATGCCATTTTTACATTTCATGAGTTTTTGAACGAAAGAAGGAAAAAATTGCATCATAAACTGCTGTGGTTTTCCGATCTGTGTGTTTGTAGCCTAAGATTGGCGGTTTTAGGGTTTAATCTGAGCTGGTTATTTTTGTACTGAAAATGAGACTTAATCAGTTATCATTGCCTTGAATACGCTTGTAATGAGGAAAAATTTGATGATTTTGGTAGTTTGATTTCTTCGAGATTTGTGTTTTACAAGACTTTGTGTTACGTGCGGAGTTTGTTCTGGTTATAATCATGGAGAATCGAGGGTCAACTTTTCTCTCGTCTGAAGGTGAAATTCCAAAACTCCTTCACTAATTATGTTTGTTTGTTTTCTGTAGTTATGCTATCCTTCCCTCGTTTCTCACATATTATTGATTAGGAGTTTTCGTTTCTTTCATAATACATGCTGAAAACTTGATGTTCCTTTTTGTTTTTATCAATTATTGGTGCGGATTTAGTGCTAAAAATGTGCAGTTTTCTGTAGGAATTGTCAAATTGATGTGTGTTCTTTTTTCAATTTTCTTTTTGTGAAGACCTGCTGTATAAGGAGCTATGGAAGGCATGTACGGGCCCACTAGTGGATGTTCCAAGAGATGGAGAGAGAGTTTTCTACTTTCCTCAAGGCCACATGGAACAAGTAAAACATTATCTTTCCCTTTTGCTTGAAAATTCAGATTTCTTATTTTCACAAATTTCTTTTGATCGTGCAAGTTTTTAATTTGCTACAATTGTTCTATTTCTTTTTTTGGGTGGTTTTAGTTGGAGGCATCAACAAATCAGGAACTTAACCAAAGAATTCCTCTCTTCAATCTCAAATCAAAGATCCTTTGTCGCGTTGTTCATACTCAATTACTGGTACGTAACATCTTTCTGTCACAATGTTTGTTCATTTCTAGATTCATCTGCAAACACACGTTCTTCAATCTCTGAAAATTTCTCAAATTTTGGCATCTTGTTATTAGGCCGAACAAGAAACAGATGAAGTTTATGCACAGATCACTCTACTTCCAGAACAAAATGTAAGATTCCAGTTCTAATACTTCAATTTTTGTAAGAAGTTTATAAAGAACCATGTTTATGATTTTTCACAACAATCTGTAGCAAAGTGATAGCGATCCTACAAGTCCTGATGAATCCCCTGAAGAGCCTCAAAGACCAAATGTTCACTCTTTCTGTAAAGTCTTGACAGCTTCAGATACAAGTACTCATGGTGGATTTTCAGTGCTTCGAAAGCATGCAAATGAATGCCTACCTCCCTTGGTAATTCCACACACACACACACACACCACAAAATCCATATATTTATCTTTTGATTTTGATGTTTAAATCCATTGAATTTGTTTAGGACATGACTCAACCAACACCAACACAAGAGTTAGTAGCCAAGGATCTTCATGGCACAGAGTGGCGATTTAAACATATCTTTAGAGGTCACTATAAACCCTAAAACCACAAAATGATTTTATATAATGTGAATATGACATATGTTCTTGAGAAAAAAAAAAATTCTTTGATTTGACAGGTCAACCACGAAGGCATTTGCTAACAACAGGATGGAGTACTTTTGTAACTTGTAAAAGATTAGTGGCTGGGGATTCCTTTGTTTTCCTTAGGTAAAAACTTTGTCCTATTGTTGTTGTTTTCATACTTTCATGCACATATCTTATTATAAGTCCAAATTACAGAAAAAACCAAAATGTAATGGCTTTTCCTAATTTACCCTTTTCATAGGGGCGAAAATGGTGAATTACGGGTAGGTGTGAGACGATTTACACGCCAACAAAGTTCAATGCCCTCTTCAGTAATTTCAAGCCAAAGCATGCACCTTGGAGTACTTGCAACTGCATCACATGCTGTTTCAACACAAACCCGTTTTGTTGTTTACTATAAACCAAGGTATAAATATAAAATATCATTTTTGCATTTTAAAAATCGGATCTTGATCGAGTTTTCTTTAACATTTTCAAAAAAATTCAGTACAAGTCAGTTCATCATAGGCTTGAACAAGTATATGGAAGCTATAAACAACAAGTTTAATGTTGGGATGCGATTTAAGATGCCATTTGAGGGTGAGGATTCTCCTGAAAGAAGGTAAATTATAATATTTAGAGTTTGTGTTGTTTTGTTTTGAGATATGATTTTAATGGGTGGAATTTGTTTAAAAAATTTAGGTTTACAGGGACAATAGTTGGAGTTGAAGATATATCTCCCCAGTGGGAGCTTTCTAAATGGCGTTCATTGAAGGTTAATATTTTTGAGGTTAAATAATGAATTAATGGAAAAATATTTGTTTCTAAATGAAAAAATATATATCACAATTGACAGGTTGAATGGGATGAAGCTGCATCTATTACTAGACCTGAAAGGGTTTCTCCATGGGAGATCGAACCAATTTCAACTCCTCCTCCTCCTTCTATCCCCCCCACAACTTCACTCCAACCACCAAAAAGTAAAAGGCCTAGGCCTCCTGAAGGGCAGATGAGTAATTTCACGCCTCCTCAAATGGACACAGGGTGGCTATCATCTGTCCAATCGCATCAAGAAACCATGAAAAACACTAATAATAATGATTCAGTTGAGTTGAAGAAACCAGAAAGTATCTCGAGTTGTAGAATATTTGGTTTCGATTTAATGATCCCTATTATACCCGAGACACAACCACAACCACCACCAGCGTCAAATGTCTATTATACCCTTGCCCCAAGTCCATTGTCTGTTGGAACTTCTGATCTCACAAAGGAGTTGCAAGTATCACCAAAAGAAGTCCAAAGCAAACAAACCACGTGTACTCGTTCGCGAACTAAGGTAATAATAATAATAATAATATGATATTAGTTTTAGGGCAGGTAAAAAACGGGCAGGTTGGGTAACAGGTAAATTTTAGGCCAGGGTATGGTAAAATGGGCAGGTTGGGTAACATGCCAAAACATGTAAAGATGGGCAGGTTAGGGTATGACAAAATTGGTGGGGTAGGGTTGTTTTGGGTGTGGGCCATCAACACTTAACTCACATTTATAGTTAATAGAGTAAATTACAGAAATGGTCCCTCTGCTTTCTCTGATATTTTACTGTGTTTAGTCCAGAAGGTTATATTGGTCCCTGGAACATTAAAATAAGGACTGGAATCGATTTTTGTAGTTTACTCTTATTAGAATAAATTACAAAGTGGTCCCTCTGTTTTTTTTTTTTTTTTTTTTTTTTTTTTTTTTTTTTGTTTTGTTTTTACTGGTTTTAGTCCAAAATTGAAACTTTTTTCAGGTTTTGTCGTTATTTGAAGGTTTTATACCGATTTTGGTCACTGGAACCTTGGAATAAGGACCAAATTACAAAAATGGTCCTTGTGCTTTCTGTATTTAACCATGTTTGGTCCAAATTTTAGACTAACATGTTTTTTTTTTTTTTTTTTTTTTTTAAATTTAATTATATGTAATGATTGAAGGTTCAAATGCAAGGCATGGCAGTGGGTCGGGCAGTGGACTTAACTGTATTAAATGGGTATGATGAGCTTATAAATGAACTGGAAGAGATGTTTGAGATTAAAGGACAATTATACCCTCGTAACCAATGGGAGATTGTCTTCACTGATGATGAAGGAGACATGATGCTCATGGGCGACGATCCATGGCAGTATGTTTGTTACTTACTACACTACACTCTCCTCTTTTTTCTGTCTGGTCAAATGACCATTTTACCCTTTCTGCTATAAACTCATGCACATACAAATGTTAACCTACTTAATAATGACATCTGTCTGAACTCTGAATGAGAATAAATAATAAATGATGATTTTACCCTTTTTGTGATACTGACAGGGAATTCTGTGGCATGGTGAAACGGATATTAGTATGTTCAAGTCAAGATGTGAAGAAAATGAGAGTGGGGAGTAAGCTTCCGATTTCTTATACAGACAATGAAGTTTCAGGAGTTAGTTTGGAAGCTGCAGAAAACTGAAAAAAGGTTCAAAGTTGGTTCCCCTTTTAGCTACTTCCACTCTTTTTATCGCCTTTTTTTTTTGGTTGTGTCTGAGATTTATAATTAGGGTGTGGCTAATTTGGTGTTAGTTTCTAAGATCTTGTCTGCTTGAATCTGTGTATATAATTAGAGTGTGATTTAATTTATTGTGATTGTAAATATGCTGAATTGTTTTTCTATGGACAATGTAGTTTAATGGTATTATTGATTTTAGGTTTGCTTGTTCAAGCAAATTTTATAAATATCAGCATACTGGGTTATTTTATTCATATATATTTTGTTTGGAACAGCTTAATTTTCAAATATCATACTACCAAGAAGCTAGAAAAAAAAAACAATTATGAAAGCAGAGAATTAATTGGGTGCCCTTTCTCTACTTCACTTCTCAAAAAAATTGAGAATTTTGCAACTGCCAAAGAACCCATTACATAGTAAAAACTAGGTGTGAGACCCGTGTAGTATACGAGTTTATTAAAAATAAAAATTTAATATAAATAATTAAACATTAAATATTTTATAAAAATAATATTTTTACATAACATAATGTAATCTTTTGGAACATTTATAAAAGAAATCAAATATTCTTTAGAACATTTATGAGACTTTATTATCAAATTAATAGAATGATTCTCTTTTCTTATAAAACTTATTAGAATTTTGTGGAATTTTATTTTAAAAAAACGGAAATTCCAAAAAAATGACAAGTGAAAAATAATAGTTCTAAAACTCCCATAAAATTACATGTGTTTCCCTCATCCCCATCCAAAAATCAAAATGTCAGCCGGTCTGAGGGATGACCTTCCTTCTGTTGGGTCAGTCAAGAAATTAACAGGTGCTTCTTTCTTAGCGGAAACCCCGGCACGCTTAAATATGTCAAACAAAACATCCCTAACCATATCGTGCCAATATTTAAACCCCGGGAGTTCTTTACAGTGAACTGCATGCTCTCCAAAAGAGTCCAAACATGCCTTATGAAAAGAGATCCCAAACACCCATATGTCTTTTTAGATAGGGTTGAATAGGTTTTATGCCAACACTAAATATGACCAAGTTGCTTAAATTGTTGTGTAACGTCCAATTTTCACAAACAAAATTTTCATTTTTAGTTAAGGCAAACATACCACTTTCACAAAACCCCGATTAAGAAAACTCATTTGTTCCAAATTACAATTGTTTGAAAATCAGAGTAATGTAATAAATGCGGAATCTCCAATGCTACTGATGAGTGTGTACAATCACGTTTTCGCATTCCCACAATCACCACTGGTACTTGAAAAACATTTAATCCACAACTCTAAGCCAAAGCTTAGTGAGTTCCCCTAAAATACCATACACCACAATACACATACAATGCATGCACACACAAAAACCTCAAGTCTGATTGGACCGCCTTGCGAGGCCTACATTCTTGGTTTAAAAAAGTGAGCATCAGGCGCGATGCGCACCGAAGCGCAGCGATGCGCAGCCAAAACCGCTTCAATACTCTGTTGCGATGCGAAGTCCATGTTGCGAGGTGATGCGTGCGCATCCAAGCGCATCACGCTTCTGTGCATCCTAGTGCATCCTGGACAGGCCCATTTTATTTGATATATATATATAGATATATATATATATATATATATATATATATATATATATAAACAATGCATGGGCTTTTTTAGTTGGATTATATATATATATATATATATATATATATATATATATATAATCCAACTAAAAAAGCCCATGCATTGTTTAATTAAACTAATCGGCCCTACTTCTATACCCTAGATTATGAGATAATGTGTAGCCGTGTACAATACTCATAACCCATACCCATGCGTACGTGATGTGATTGGGCGACTGAATCTTCTTCTTCTCTCTTTCTTTATCACGTCTTACTTGTTTCTTGATCGACATCTTCTTCCCCACCACTTTCGTTTTTCTCTTAGATCATTAGTCATCACTCGTCAGTTCATCACTCACCCTTGTTTTATTCTACACTTCTACTCTTCTATAATGGATACTCGATCTAACATTGATCCGACAAGAAGATATGGTACCCAAGACCCTAAGATTAGAAACAAATTTACATGCACTTTCTGCACAAAAGTTGTTAAGGGAGGTGCATACCGGTTAAAACAGCACCTTGTTGGAGGTTATAGAAACGTCACTGATTGCCCAAGATGTCCGGAACATATCCGGAAAGAAGTAACAGATTTTATGAAAGAAAAACAACCATCAAAAGAAAGTATTCAAATGCTATCAAGGATGCAAGAAGTTGATGAGTATGACGAAGACGAAGAAGAAGATTGTGTTGAAATAAGATCAAAAAGGGGAAGTGAAGGAACTAGCAAACTACCTCCCAAAAAGAAGCCAAAACAAAGAGGACTTATAGATATGTATTACACTCCAAATCCTGAAGGTGCACTTAAAGGTAGAAAAGAAGGTAAAGGAGGGAAACAACAAACGATTAATGAGGTGTGTCGGAAAGAACTAAGGGGAAAAGCATGCAGTGAAATAGCAAAATGGTTTTATGATGCAGGTATTTTCTATTCCTTTCATATGCTTTTTTTTGAATAAAAATGTTGTTTTTTTTGAAGTTATATAGGCTGTTTTTTATGTTTAAACATGCTGTTTTTTGGTTTTTATGCAGTTTTTATGTTAAAACTTTGCTGGTTTTGTGTAGGTATTCCTTTTAATGCTGCTACATATGATAGTTTTAATATCATGGTAGAAGCAATTGGACAATTTGGTCCCGTAATGAAACCACCTAGCATGTATGAGCTAAGGGTGCCTTTGCTAAAGAAAGAAGTAGAAGCCATTAAAGGAAAAATGAAGGAACACGAGGAAGAATGGGCCCAAAAAGGGTGTTCGATCATGTCAGCCGGTTGGCGTGATTCGGTGGTGCAAAAAGATATTATAAACTTTTTAGTGAATTCTCCGCGGGGATCTGTTTTCAAGAAATCTATGGATGTCTCAGAAGTTTCAAAGGATGCAAACTTGTTGTTTGGTGTTCTTGATGACATAGTTAAAGAGGTTGGAGAGGTCAATGTTATCCAAGTTATCACGGATAATGCGTCCGCTTATGTTAAAGCGGGTAAGGAATAGATATTAAGTAAATTAGTTTTTTTTAATTTACATTATTTTGATTATTAATTTTACTTTGGTGTCAACTTTGTAGGGAAATTACTGGAAGCCAAAAGACCACACCTCTTTTGGACACCATGTGCGACACATTGTGTTGATCTTATGTTAGATGACATTGGCAAGCAAATTCCTAAAGTGAGAAGTGCTTTGAAGAAATGTATGCTGTCGAATGTGTTTATATATACCCATGTTGGTCTTGTGAGCATGATGCGCAAGTTTACTAATCAAAGAAACTTGCATAGACCTGCTATTAGCCGGTTTGTCTCTTAACAGTTAACACTTTATTAACCATTCATATTAATTATGGTCTTGCATTTTTATTGTATCTAATATAAAATTCACAATTTAAGAAAGATGAAACTTGCATAGACCTGCTATTATAGGTTTGCAACATCATTTATCACTTTATCACAAATTCACAAGCAAAAAGACAATTTAAGAAAGATGATCTTGTCCAAAGAGTGGGCAGAAAGCAAGTGAGGCAAGGATGATATTGGGAAAAAGATGAGATCATATTTTATGCAAGACTCGTTTTGGAGAAATATTGTCTATGCTCTAAAGTTGACGGGACCACTTGTTAAAGTCCTTAGAATGGTCGATGGGGAAACAAAGCCAGCGATGGGCTATATTGATGAGGTGATGGATAGAGCCAAGGAGGCTATTGCAAAAAGTTTTTGCAACAAAAAGGAGGAGTACAAGAAAGCTTTTGAGATCATTGATCAAAGGAGGGAATGCCAACTTCATCGGCCTTTGCATGCGGCTGGACATTACTTAAATCCAGAAACCTTTTATGATAACCAAGAAAGCGCATCTTGTGAAGAAGTTATGAAAGGATTATATGCATGCATCGAGCAATTAGTTCCAGATTCTAGCATCCAAGACAAGATTTCTGCAGAATTATCCGTGTATCAAAATGTTGAAGGTTTATTTGGTATACCAATGGCAATTAGGCAAAGAAAGACAAAACCACCAGGTTTCCTTTTATTAATAACTAAACTTCATATATGATTAATTATATATTATAATTATAAAGTTTATGTAATAGTGTAAGTGTCTAACTTTTTTTCAAATCTGGTTTTTGGCAGCTGAGTGGTGGATATCTTATGGATCTTCGACTCCCAACTTGAAAAACTTTGTTGTACGAGTCCTTAGTCTCACATGTAGTGCTACAAGTTGTGAGAGAAATTCGGGAGTCTTTCAACATGTAAGTTGTCATATTATATATATTGTATGACATATATTTTTATTGAATATCGACACATTCTGATATATGATATGTCTAATGTTATTGAAAGTTTTTTGGTAGCTTCACACACAAAAAAAGGAATAGATTGGCGCAAAGTAGACTAAATGATATGGTCTATGTGAAATTCAACCGTGCATTAGATCGTAGATACAAAAAAAGGGTACGGGTATCCTATCCTCCTACATGAAATAAATGAGAGCAATGAATGGTTGATGGGTCGAATGGAGGAAGATAAAGAAGATGATTTTGTGTTTGAAGGTGAAGATTTGACTTGGGATGTTGTAGAAGAAGCCTCCGGGGTAAATGAGCCTTATTATTCAACTAGAGCATCAAGAGATAGTAGAGGAAAAGAAACAATGGGATCCAGTAGGGCCCCTCCTAGAGATGTGTTGGTTGATGAAAATGAGATGGAAGAGGATATTGGCTTGTCTAGTGATGAGTATGGAGATATGGTGCTTGAGGTTGATGGTTATGATGATGATGAGTGATGGAAATGATATTAGGGTCAATTAGTTTCATTTTGCACTATTATTAGATTATTAGTTATTTAGTTATTAATATTTGCTATTATGTAGTATGCACTACTATTAGGGTATGTTAGTTTCATTTTGCATTACTATTAGACTACTAGTTATTTAGCTATTAATATTTGCTTACTATGCACTACTATTTATATATATTTATGGTGTTTTAGTATACTGGTAATCATGCATAACACATTTTGGTTCACTAATGACTACTTGTGCGCCTCGTCTACGTGATGCACGCGCATTCGCATCGCGCTTCGGGACCCTTATCGCATCGGAGTGCATCTCGCTTTTTAAAACCAAGCCTACAATACACCTGGACTGCTCACCTGGGCCTCCTGTGCCTACATCATACAGTTGGTCCGCACCTGGCCTACAACACACCATTGGCCCGCTCGGGTATCTTGTCCTACCGCACAAAGTAGGACCGCCTCAGCCTACCACCCGATATGTCGACATATAAACCAAACAAGCTGTGACATCCCCATTTTCAAGGCCAGAAAAGACCGATTTTGTTTATGCTTTGTTTGAAAATCAGAGTAACATTTTAAATAAAAGTGTTGCGGAATTTGTCCCCAGAAAACATGATAAATACGTTATCAAAGCATTTCCGAAGAAATGTATTTTTATCCATTTTAAAACATTTGGGATTTCATCGTCAATACATAAACATAAGCATAAACATAACTTACATTCATAATCACTAGTGATTTATATCTCCTTAATCTCTCAGTGTAATGTAACTTCATATCGACACCTGTGATTCAAATAAACTGAGTGGGTCAGGTTGGGAAACCTGGTGAGCACATAGGATTTTCAACCCACAATAAATAAGGTTATTATTTTCATCAACCAAACAAACACGATTACCCGTTCCCGTTATCCTCACTTTACGTCCCTAAAACATCTAACATAAGGGACCTAGCCTAAGGATTTTCTGATGGGTTTTATACAAACAATCCTATGTGTGCATGCAACCCTAGATACGGATCTATGTTTTCACTATTAGTTATACAACATTATGAACACAAAAGAAACCTAACATGCTCCTAGGTAATTTCGAAAATCATAAAGGAGAATGGAATACATACCTCTTGTTGTTATGTCGTAATAACAACTTGTATCTTGAATCTTCTTGTCTTTGAAAGCAAGTACCACAAGTGTAGTACCTCTAATGGCTCACAAACACCAAGAGCAAATGGAGAGGCAAGAGAGAGAGAGGGGGAGGTATGAAATTCGGCTCTAGGAACCCTAGGTATCAAGTGGCCGAATTTCTTATGCCAATGGGTCTTTATATATGTGTAGGAATTAGGGTTTCAGTCCTTATCCTTATCTGGTTGCTTAGCCACCAAGCAGCCTAAAGGATAACCCTAGAAACCTTATCATGGACGAATTCTAAGGCCTTATCCCCTTGAATTCGTCCACCCTATCATATAGGGCATCCTTTGCCCTACTTTGCAACTATCACATAATTACAGTTCAGTCCCCCTAGTTCAATTAACTTCTTTTGATCACAAAATTAATTCTTAATTAATTCTTGACCAGTGTTAACTAAATAAATATGATTTCTCTTTTAATATATTATTCATATAATATATTAATAAACCATAATAACCTCTTTCTCTATTATTTCTCCAGTCAAGTTGCTTTGGCGAAGGCAACCCAAAAGGACCATGCACAACCGGGTCAAGTACTTACCAAATATGGTTACGGGCTTAGACACTAATCCAACAGTCTCCCACTTGGATAAGTCTAGTAACTATAAATGCAAGTACAATCTTATTAGCAATCGTAGCTCTCAAAGACACTGTCGAACTCTAATCTTATTAGTAACCTGTCCTTTAGATAAGGGATCATATATTCATCCATTCTAGATATCGTATGAACTAAGACATGGATTTTAATCATACTCTCTGTTCACGTGTTGTTTCCCGATTTCCGATTTATGACGACTGACAACAGACTACAGTTGAACACATCAACTTAGTCCCGGCTTGGCCAAGCGCTTAGGGTGTCATCACTAAATCATCGAGGGGCCCACATATATCGATTTTATTCCACTTTGGGTAAAATGAACAGATAAAATTCGAATCAATGGTCGCTTGTACTCACTCACCGAATCACACACAACAATACGTTTTATAACACCAAGTTACTGGTGCGTTTACATATTGTCAATGTGTAACCGACTCGCAAGATACAACTCACACATCTCGGTTTCAAGAATATAAGATATTACCATCTCACCAATCACTCGTGATAAAATCCATGAAGCGATCCAAGTGAGCATGGGTTTAATCCAATACTCTAATCTTATAGCAGCACTCATGAACTCTGCAGCAAACTTGTGCTATGTCTAAACGCTTTAGTCAATCTACAGACGGATTCATGACAGTCTTCTTTCATACTTACTTCCAAAGTATGAGCGACTGTGGAGGGTTTGAATAATCTTATTATTCGGGAAGTCAAAACATGCAAAGTGAAACACAAGAATAATACTAATCCCATATGGCCCCAAACTTTTGAGTATAAATAAAACACCTTTTATTTAATCACCATATTGATTACTCATTATTTGTTGTTTCGATTAATCAACTTCTTACTTGAATCACAACAACAGTTGTCCCATGCTCTTAGCATGCACACTATGTTTTCCTATGGTCCTAACTTCGTAAAATAGATCAAATGAACACATTTCCAATGATGCTCATTTCACAGTTCCTAATCCTAATTAATTAGTGTAAGAATACAAATTCTCGCCACTACTAGAATATGTTAGATTCTAACATTTTATGCAACGATCCTTTCGTAATATCACAACGCTAAAGTCACCAAGACTTTGCCAATAAAATTACAAAGTGCTCTATTGGAGATTGTTACAAGACAATTCCATAGTCATGAAGTCTCACATTCAAAGTACATTCCTTTGATCATCCTTCTTGCATAAAAGTTTCTAATCTACATAGAGATTCTTAAAGTCCAACTCCCAATATGGAAACAATTCCATATTTACCAAATGACAACTCATTCTAAATAGAATCTTATCTATTCATAATAATGCCAATATGGTCGATCTATGACTATACTTCCAATGGATAAATGCTTTTTCCCTTTAATTGCCCTAGGCATTTGGAAAAAAAAAATTTAGAACGGTCGAATATTACAGCATATGCAATTGATCCTATACCCAAAGCGTATGGGATACGATTAATAATGAAAAACGTGATACTTTATCAGCTTCTTGCTATAATATTGTCATAATGTTCCTATTTGTCGTGTTCTCAAAATTCGAACAATGAAGAGGGATGTTGTAATCATAATTGAACTTTGAGAATGCAATAAATATATCCTTGATTAAATTCAATTAAAATTTCTCGATCTAAGTTTTTAGATTGGAAACGAAGTATAACATTCTCTCCCTTAATTATAGCAAAAACAACTTTTCAACCCCTGCAACTTTGCAAAGTGAAACTTTTGTTTTTCTATAATTAATATTGCCAACTTGCAATACTTAAAATATAATCATGCTCCCACTAACATGATGATTTTATCCATTCCAACATAACATTTATGCTCCCACTAGCTTTGACACGTATTAGAAAACAGTCGGACTTCTGGAAGACAATACTTATTAACTTCTAAAGTTCATATTCCTAAGCTTCTCAAACTCATACACCTTTCATTAGACAGCTCACATGTATGTCTAAACTAATTCAAAACTTATATTACTAATCGCCAAATCTCACAATTCGAACTATGAAGAGGGATGTCGTAATCATAATCGAATTCGAGAATGCAATTTACATAATCGCTATCTCCTTAAAATCTCTCTTAGTGAAAGCGTTTCCTCACAATCATTTTCATGAAGGAGAGAAACCTTATGATACTTATATTTTATGGTGCATGTGTTCCTATCCATGCGAATTTGTCATAACCATAATCATAAGATAATGTTTGTGACAAATCCAAACTCTTATGGACAGAACTTGTTCATACTTGATTTCTTGCCATCAAGGGTCCCACAATTGCTACAAATTTATTTAGCAGCTCACCTATGTCAGTCAATGTACTTTCATCGAACAAGGTGCTTGCCTTATGCAGTCTATTGAGAACTCGTAGAACTCATATGCATAGTTGACCAAACTGGAATGGCACAGAAACAAGAATATGTCAACACGATAGGTTACAATCCTCAAGTCGTGTGCTAGTGTTTAATAGGTTTACTCTCGATTAGTTCTTGAAACTTTTCAAGATCTTTATACTCCCACTGACCTCTTGACATATTAGATTCTCTTATCAAGAAACATTTATTGACAAAACAAATATTCAAGAGTTAGTGTGTGTCTATATCAAAACAAAACCTACACGCAATTTGGTACTAGTTGGCCTTTGTCTTATTCAAGACATCACAACTTACCAAAATGTGCAAGTGTAAGAACATTCCTACTTAAGATTATGTCACTCAAGTCACAATCTTGGAGTATAACTCTAAGACTTGATTTTGGAACGAAGTACAATACATCTTACTGACTTAACCACTACAACAATTCTCGATTCCTCTTCTTAGCCAAACTAGTGCACTAAGGTGTCCTTAGAGGATGAATTGTAATATGGTTCCTATGATTACCAAGACGATCATAAAACACGATAAAAAAAGTACTCTCCCTTCTTCTTAGATTGGAGAAACCTTTTATCTTTCTGCCTTCATTGATTCTACTTATTCGTTCTGCCATTCATTGAAACTTTTCAATGATTCAGAATTACACTTAATCTTGTAAGTATAATCACCTTTACTAGACTTTTAGTAAATCATGACGAATAATGTTATTGTTCTTTGTGGTGGATTTGACTAGTTCACAAAATTATGTACTAGTTCTCCTAGTCCTTCACTTGACTCTTTGTCAAGGAATTATTCTTAATTTTCCAAATATGAAGGTTCTCATTCATCATACAATACAGGT